AACTACAACTTTACTTTTCACAAGAAGCAGAGGATGCCCAAGGATCATTATCTAATTTTATATTTACTTCAGAAGTAAATAGTACAACTTTATACTATAGCAACGATTGTTTTGGGAGTTATATTAATGCGGACATGTTTGATAACAATAATGGTAATAGTAAATATTTAATCATTAAGACTTTTTTGTAATAAAAGTAGTTTTTTTTCTTTAATTTAAATTCTTCTAGACTTTTCAGATTTTGATGACTAGCAAGAAGAGGAGGATAATATTTTGCTACTACTATCATTAGAAGTTAGAATAATATTTGATAATTTTAACAATGTAAAATAATTTCTTAACTAATATACAAAAAACAATGAATTTGTTATTATAAAGGAGCAAATTGAAAAGGATAAGAATGACAAATCAATAATTGTAAGGAAAACATTCGAATGTCATTATAGTCAAAGTAGAAAATCAAAGAAAGTTATTAATATTGTGCAACAAAAAGATCATAGATCAGAAAAAATAAATTGTCTGTGAATATGCAATGTTAACAAAATAAAAAATATGCAATCTGTAAAAGTTACAAGCTTTGTTGATCAATATAATCATGATTGCAATAGTAATGTGGCATAGTACGCTTCAAAATATAGACATTTACCTTCAGAAGTTCTTGATGATATAAGGTTTTTTACTGTGAATAGTCATATGAGTACAAGAATACAATACTGTTTATTAGCAGCAAAATATTCAAATATTTATATTCATAAAAGAGATTTATATAATACTATTTACTATTTTAAAGCTACTTCAGCTTACTAACAACAAGGAGATGGGTAATCAATTCTTAATAAACTTTTAGAATTACAATATAAAGAGCCAAGATGGATTATTAAAACACGCCTTGAAGGACCTAATAATCAGTTAGTTAGATTGTTCTAGATAAGTCCAATACAAGTTCAACTTCTTATCAAATATAGAGATATAGTGATTTGTGATAATACTTGTAAAACAAACTAGTTTGATATATACCTTAGCCTTCTTGTTGTAATTGATAATAATACTAAAACCCGTTTAGTATATCAAGAGTTATCAGAGAATAAAACAAGCAATAGTTACTAATAGTTTTTTCAGTGTCTAAGAGATGCTATTGGTAATATAGCACTCCAAGTATTATTTTCAAACTCTGAGCTAGCTCTAATTTATGCTGTTTCTATTGTAATTCCTGAGACCAAGTATTTTTTATGTATATTCCATATTCAGCAAAACATACATAAAAAATTAAAACGAATTTTAGAGGTCTGATTATAAAGAGTTTCTCAAAGTATTTTATAAAACAAGAAATAGTTTAAACGAATCTGACTTTAAATGATATTAGAAAAAAATAGTTAAACAATTTTCTCATACAAGTAATTATTTGCAAGAAAATTTATATCTAGTTCGACATACGTAGGTTTTATAGTATTAAAGTCTTTGGTTTACTACTGATATATAATCAAATCAAAGAATTGAGGTACTTAATTCATTACTGTATGCCACTGACTATAGTACCCCCTGAATATAGTATCCCCTATTAAAAAGACCCAGATACTAATTACAGAATCAAGATTTAGAAAATTGAATAAGATCCGGGTATTAGTAATGAGATCCTAGTTATATAAATGCACAGAATATAATGAAGATAACATGAAAGCAGTAATAGTATCTGACATGTAAACTAATATATGATAACAATTCAAAGATAGACAAGTCAAAATAAAAAAGAATTTCAACTTAGGCCATTTAAATTTAGGCAGATTGGAAAGCTAGACAAACAAAAATGAGTACAACCTATTTTAGGTTCACTTGAACCTACTAAACCTTGTTTAATTTTAATTTTTCTCTGTTCTCCTTTAGACAAATATAAAAAAATAATATTAAATAAAGTTTTTAAATAATCTAAATAGCTATACTTTAAAGTTGTTTGATCATTTTAAGGTTTATATATGGAGTGTTTCATATTATAAGAGACTATTTTTACTTTTTTCAAAAAATGAGTTTTTATTAGATTCATATAAATTTTAACATGATTAACATTTTTCAATTATTAATGAAAGTCAATTTGCATAATAAAAAATCAAGATAATATAAAAAAAATATTTTATGATTTTTTAAAGAACAACATATTACAAGATTACCTGATAGTCAACTATTATCTTTAACTAATCAAAATTATGAAATTAAATTAATTCAGATCAGTCTAAAAATCAAAACAAATAATTAAACTCAATTATCTCAAAATGAAACAAATGTAAAAATAGTCTCTTTTAATATGAAACACCCTATATATTAGTCATATGTATTACTAACCTTATGTAACTTAGATTCATAACATATTTAGATACAAGGTTTATTCACTATATATATATTATTAATAATATGAATTGAACTTTTATGTTTAAAGTTTTATAATGATAAACTTGGTACTTATTATTAGAGTAATGTTAAACAAGTATATAAGCTAAACTTAAATAAAAATATAATAATAACAATGCATTTATTAATATTTTATAATTGCTCAAAAAAAAAAGACAAGTATTTTAAATGTCATAACTAATTAAATTCAATTAAACTTAAAACTGAATCAGAAACTCTGCAGTATGAACAGTATTTTTTAACTGCAAATTCAGCTACTTTACTTTTTAAGCTTTTCAATATATATTTATGTAGCAAAATACCTTTTTTGCATATTTATGAATAGTTGGTAGTGGAACAGAATCAAGAGCTAATAGAACAGTTCTTTGTAATTCTTTCTATAAGTAATCACAATTTGACTAGCTATATTTCTTTACTATATCTTAGAAGTTCTTAATAGAATTGAGCTTATAATAAAATTTAGAATAGAACAAAATTTGATATTTAGTTATAATAATAATTTCTTTTAACTATCTTTTTTGTGCTAAAAAATCTAATTGTTAACTTATTAATTTTCATACTTCTTTTAACTTTAATTCTTCTTCTAGCCATAATCCTTTCTCCTTTAGAAATTTTCTAATCCTTTAGACTCTCTATATAATTCAAAAATCAAATAATCTGATAGAAAAACAATATCTTGATTATATTTTCTCTCTTATGAAAATAAGATATTTTGTGTATTTTATCTTGTTTTCTAGTAGAACTAAGATTTATATGCTTAGCAACAAGTGTATTATATGCAAAAGCAGAATAACTTGTTATATTGTTAAATACAAACAAGACTTAGCACACTAGAAAGCATTTTTCAAATATAAGAATTGCACAGTTAATTACCTATAGGGAATAGTAAAAAAAAAAAATAGGATAAATATTTTTTACTATTTAAAACAAGTAATAATTAAAAGTCTGAATTATTATATCTAAATTTAAATATATTTAAAACATAATTATAACCCAAAACATTTGCTATTTCTAGCTATGAATATGTCTTATTTCACTAATACTCATTTTGTAGATACAATATTTTACTAACAATTAATTTATTAACATATTTGTTTCACAGATAACTAATTCCTAGACAAACTTATTTTATAAACAACTCATTTTATATAAAGCTTATTTTACTGACAAGCTAATTTCTCATAATTTATCTAACACTAATCTAACTCTAACTCTAATTCTAATAGTAATAATATTAGTAAAATGAGCTGTTAGTGAAATAAGTTGTCTATGAAATGAGCTTTTCTAGAAATTAGTTGTCTGTAAAACAAATATATCAGTAAATTAATTATTAGTAAAATATTGCATTTATGAAATAAGTATCAGTGAAATTGCTGAACTATTCAGCTATCTAGTCAATTAAGTCCTTAGTTTTCTACTATCTATTATTGTTTATTCTAGGATATATAATAATACAGGCTTCTTTAGATAGCTTATCTGATAGTTGCATATTATTAAAAAGTACAAGCCAGCTACAAATATTAGTTAGAAACTCACTAATATGAATTGAATAGCTCTCTCCTTTTTTTTATAAAAGTTGTTCTTTATCAGGAATTCAAAGATTCTAACTTTTATTGTTAGCTAAAAAGATATATTTATTATATATAACAAGAATTAGTAGCTATATACTATTATCTAGCTAGAATTCTACCTCCATATTATCTTCTAAAAATATAGATATTCTATACTCAAATTTATTTATTTATTCTAAAAATATATTTTGATAAGCTATCATATCTTCTCTCTCATGTCTATCTACATATACTTCTTTTTTTACTTTTTCATATATATATCCAAGCTCTTTTAAATAATTTTTTTGCAGTGCTGAGGGAAATAGTTAGAGGTAGTACAAATTCAAGCCTTGATAAAATAACCTTATTCATCTTAATATAATCATATGTAGAGTAATATTCTACTTATTTTTCTAGGTATATAACTTTATTTGGAGAAGAATATCTTTATCCCAGAAAAAGCTTTATGTTTTAGCATAATGTCTTTAGCATGAAGAAAGAATATAGCAAGATATAATATACTTATGCACCTAAGAACTAATGAATTTAGTATCCCTTAATTTGTAATACAGGTAAATTTGCCTGTGTCTACTTTTAATTTTTGTAATTTTTAAAGTAAATCTTTAAAGATTAATTTTAAATATATACTTTTTAATTAAAATATATTTTTTAGTATTTATTTTAACAACTTTGTTAAAAAAGTTTTTTAAAATTATTATAAAAGTTTTGAGTA